AGCTCTGGTAGCATAGTGGTTACAAATTGGACTTCTGACCTCAGGGTCAGTAATTCGAAACTACCAGCTGTTCTACAGGAGAAAGATGAGGCTTTCTGCTCCTGTAAAGATTTACAGCTTCTGAAACCCTGTACAGGGTCGCTATGAGTCGGAATCGACTCCATGGCACATAACAACAACAACAACAATTTTTCAAATGTTGTTGTGTTGTTAAGTGCCATTGGACCCTGTATAGGGTTTTTGAGGAGTGGCTGGTAAGCCTGAAGAGCCAACTTTGCAGTCCAGCATATTAACCCACAGTGCTACACTAGGACTCTGTTTATCAAGTAAGGAGTGCCAATACTGTAATCTATCCCTACCTTCACAATCACTAGTGTATAACTTATATTTAATTTATACATCTGATAAATATTTTAATTTGCTCTTTTGCAGGATGATAAAACAATGACCAGCAAAGAATCCATTCATTTTTTATTGAAAGATATTCTTACTAAGAAATAGATGACATAATTTTTCTCACTCGTCTCAGATGAGCAAAGAAAATGTAGCATCTTCATTTTGCCTTACCTAGTTCATCTTGCACGTAAGCTTCCTCCCACTCATTAGCAAGAAAAAATGAAAGAACTTTATTTATCTCCCTCTGGTAAACTTCATCTGATGCAATCATTTAAATAATTCCTGTAGGAGATGCTCTATCCCTTTGGAATAAAAATGTTCAGTCTCGCAGATGGCTGCTTCTTCCTTCTGCTTTTCTCCCTAAGGTGATATCCTGGTAATGAGGTGAGAGAGATTTGTATGATCTCGTGGCATTAGGAATCTGGATGATGTGCTCTGACTCTATGAGTCCCAACAGCTGTCTCCTGTCCATTGGGGTGTTCCTCTCTCTGCTGGCATTTTACAGCTAAGGTGTGTGGCTGGGGTAAAGTCTCCGGACTTGCTCAGAGTCTGATGGCATTCCCTGGTTCACTTGGCCTCATCTTGCACAACCGCCATTGAACTTGGCCAGACAGTCCACTCTCCAGTCTCTACTGTGAGCCACCTCACTCATCATCCTCAGAGCCCACTGGCCAATTAACTTGGGCAGCCCCCATTTGGGACAAGTTGTTGTTAGGTGCTGTTGATTTGATTCTGACTCATAACGACCCTATGCACAACAGAACAATGCCTGATCTTGGGCCATCCCCACAATTGTTGTAAGGTTTGAGACCACTGTTAGAGCTACGGTGTCAGTTTATTTCATTGGGACTTCCTCTTTTTCACTGACCCTCTGCCAAGCAAGATCTCCTTCTCCAGGGGCTGGTCCTTCATGACAAGAGATGAAGTTTCACCATCCTGGATTCTAAGGGACATTCTACTTGTGCTTCTTCCAAGATAGATTTGTTTGTTCTCTGGCAGTCCATGGTATTTTCAACATTCTTCACCAATACCACAATTTAAATGCATCCGTTCTTCTCTTGTCTTCCTTATTCACTGCCCAGTTTCCACATGCATATGAGGCGATTGAAAATATCATGGCTTGGATCAGGTGTACCTTAGTTCTTAATGTGACGTCTTTGCTCTTTAACATTTTAAAGAGGTCTTATGCAGTAGATTTTCCTAATGCAATATGTCATCTGATTTCCAGACTGCTGTGTCTATGAACACTGACTGTAGCTCTAAGTCAACTGAAATCCTTGACAACTTTAATGTTTTCTCTGTTTATCATGATGTTGTTTATTGGTCCAATTGTGAGGATTTTTGCTTTTTATCTTGAGTTGTAATCCATCCTGAAGATTTTATTCTTTGATCTTCATCAGCATGTATGTCAGGTCCTCTTCATTTTCAGCAAGAAATGTTGTGCCTTCTGCTTTATCTCAGGTTGTGAATGAATCTTCCCCAATCCTGATGCCCTGTTCTTCTTCATATAGTTCAGCTTCTCCGATTGTTTAGCATGTAGATTGAATAAATATGGGTAAGGTAGACACTTCTAAGTTTCATCAGTGCCACACAGAGCAAGCAGATCAGCATTTGGAAAAGCACACTCAGACCCTTCCTCTATGCCCCTCCTGACATGCTGCTGCCACATTTATAGACAGGAGCAGCTTTGGAGATGGCTTCTTCCCTGAGTTCTAAACAAAGGACAGAGCAAGAGCCCGTGAGTCCTAATGTTCCTGTCAAAAGATCAAATGTATTCCCCACCCCTTTGGGGGAATCCCTGGGCGGTGAAAATGGTTAACATGTTCAGCTGCTAACCAAAAGGTAAGAATTTTTGATCCATCCAGCGGCATCTTGGAAAAAGTCCCAGCAATCTACATTTGAAAACACAGTTCTACTCTGACACACTTGGGGCCGCCATGCGTCAGAGTTGACTCAAAGGCATTTGGTTGCCCCTTTTGGGAGAGTAGAGAGAATGAACGGACAGACTGAAGTGCAGGCTTTCACTCTCTGCCTCTTCTGCCTCTCTCTCCCTCCCATAGCACTTGAGGAGCAAAGGAATCCAGTGTTCCTTTTATTTTATTCCCATTGTGTCCAGCTTCTTCTTCCTGACCCCAGCTTCTGAGCTCAGCTCCATGACAGGGAGAGATGTTGGTACCTTCTGTCTTACTATCAGCTGGTTCACTGGCTGATCCTTGAGTTGTTAAATGAGAGGAACTCAAGGAATTTAGGAAGACCTCTTCCAAAGCAATAATCTGGTTTCCATGGCTTAAATTTGGCTTTTAAAATCCTATCTTGAGAGTCAAAACTTCATTCTTTCCTGTTTCTTACTCTTTTCCTTTTATAACAATGCAGTTTCTCGCAGGCAGCTGTATGCCTAAAGCCAGCTAGGAAGAAGTCCATGTCAAAGTGAAGAGAAAAGCAAGTGCAGAGTCTGGAGGGCCTACAGGACACTCATCGTCTCACTGCTTCCTTCTGGTTTCTGCTCATTAACTACAAATGAACAAAGGACCCTCATTGAAATAGTAACCACTGGTTCAGACTGTCTATTTAGACCTCTTATCACAGATTTCCTTGTTGTAGCTCATATATGTATATGGAAAACAGCGCCTTCATTGTTTTATTGGTTTCTTTTGGGGGGTAGGGGAAAGTGGGAGGGTGGAGGTTAGGGACTTGGTAGAGCTTGGCTGGTATTAGCTTCTTTCACATACAAAGGTTTTTCTCCCTGTTGCCTTCTATATAGTCTCAAGAGGAAAACTGAGCAAAGCAAAGGACACACATACCCCCTTTCTAATCTGTGGCTTTTTAGAGCAGCTCCTTGGTGTTAAATTCATTTCCTTGTTTTTGCCATTGAAATGAAAGGACAGAACAAGTCCATAACAAAATCACGAGAGCCCATTCCAAGAACTCTCCTGGGCCAAATGTAATCTGAGGTCTAATGTTTTTTTCTTCTTTTTTTTTTTAGAGAGCCAGAAAGATGAGAATGACCTAAACGAGGAGCAGGAAATATTCACCGAGATGATGCAAGTGATTGAGCAAAGGGACAAACTTGTAGACTCCTTAGAGGAACAACGCATCAAAGAAAAAGCTGAAGACGAGCACTTTGAAAGCTTCATATTCTCCAGGGTCTGCCAGCTGAGCAGGACGTGAGCAAGCCCACGGCCTCTCTTCCTCTCAGCAAGCTGAAGGCTAGTCCAAGAAAACCTCACACTGTCATCATTCATTTTGCAGGATTCAGAAGACCTGGACTTTAAAGTATAGTCTACTGAAATTTTTAAAAGAAATTTAAATGTTATCAGATACACTACAGCTACCCAAGATTCTTCCAGAGATTTTAATGAAGAAAATACAAAGACCCTTTTGAAATAGGCAACCAAGTCAGCAGGCCTCTCAAATTGAAAGTGTCCTTGGCAGCTGACCAGCATTGTTTTCCCTGGAAAGTAACCCAGAGATCTGACTATCCTGCTGCTTGTATAATTTTTTTTCCCCTCCCAATTCATTGAGTTACACATCTTAAGATTTTCAAGAAGCTGCTTTCTCATAGCTATATCCATATTTGCCTTTTTTGCATGGATGACCGATTTCCAAATGTCAGCAAGACGCAGCAGCAGTTTAAAGATTAGGTTAATATTTAAATTGTGTTTCCCGAGAAAGAGAAGAAATCTTGAGATTACTGATTACATAAAGCAAATAACTCATATAGCAGGTGTTAATTCAATCCAGGGTGAATTTAATTTACCAGGCGTACTTATAAACCTTAATATAATATACATAAGCAATGAGAGTTTAATAGAACATTTGAGCCTTAATTTTAGTTTTAAAACAGAAAGAAGGGAGGGCAAACCCCCCACAAAGTTTCAAATGCTCTTGATCTAGAATGCTTTTTGTTTTCTGAACACTCCGCTTATAGGCCCTGGAGCAAAATGAAAAGGAGTTTTAGAGAATGTATAATTTTGAATGCTTTCTTCTAACTGTTGGCCATGTGAAAGTCTTCCTGTTTGTTGTTCAAATGTTGATGATATTAATGCTGCTACTAAAAACAAATATACTAGTTGTACAAAGCAGGGAATGCTCCTCAAATATGGTCTTCTTAGACCCAAAACAAGAAGGAGTAGCTGATCACATTGTCTTCAAGGATTGCCCTGAAACTCTTGGGGACAAGGAAAAAGCCACTTCTAACTTCAAGTTGGAGCTGAATGCAATGACACCATTATTGACCAAATCCCAAATTGGGGTGTATGTGTGTGTGTGTGTGTGTGACATTTTTAATGTGAAAAGAAAGCAGGGAGGACTTTGTGCACTGATATGTTGGACCTTCTGGGATATCTCAATGGTTCTATCTGGGGCCAAAATAGAGATTTTAAATGGTGATCTATTGTTACATGAAATACTGGATTTTGCTCCCCAAATGGGATTATGTGAAGATTCACTCTGTTGCTGATAAGAAAGAGATTAAGAACTTGTTGTGTATTTGACCTCTCTCATTTTTGCAAGTGTTTAAATGTGTCTTTAGACAAAAGGTGCTTTGTAATGGTTGGCTCTGACTCTAGACCCAACTTTCCTCAATATAAATTTACCTATGAACTGCTTCTGTCTGAGATGTTGTCGATACACACCAAAAAGCCAGAAATTAGACGTATAACTGGTTTTCTCCTAAGTTAGTCATGGTTTGTGGTGGAGGTGGTTATGTGCCGTAGAGTTGGTTCCCACTGATAGCGCCCCTCCGTAGGGGTTCCAAGGCTGTAAATCTTTACGGGAGCAGACAGGCTCATCTTTCTCCTGCAGAACAGCTGGTAGTTTCGAACTGCTGACCTTGAGGTTAGCAGCCCAACTCATAACCACTATGCCACCAGAGTTCCTTAGGCAGTATTTAAACACAACCTTGCCAGGTTTACCAAGTTCTGAAGGTTGTAGTTCTTTTTTTCTCTTCTTCTTTCTCTATGTATACATAGATATAATATTTAAATATATATGTTTAAATCAGGTCTTCTTAAGTCTGGTTCTTCTTATTAGGGAATATGTATAATTTCTGGCTATTTATCTATTTTTATTTATTTGTGCATTTGATGGAAATTGCTAATATAATTTCCTCATAATTGTGGTTTTCCTGTGTTAGAATTTGGAGATGTATTAGTGCTCAGATATTGGTATATTAAGGATTAATATACAGATGCAGTCTAGCCTAACTTGATATCCACGATACTGTCTGTGAAAAAAAAATCATATTGTGTGATTTGGACATAACCTGGCCCTGCTTTTTCTTTCAGCATCTGAAACAAGTATCATGGCCTTTGCAGTAAGGATCAGAGCCGAGAGGGATTCACGTTTATGATTGTACCTCAATGCACATCAGTAGTCGTTTTGTCTTATCTGAGATGAGTTCCTCTCACATTGTCATTAGCCTTGTAACTTTCAGCAGAGCCAGTCCTTTAATAGCTTAGAGACTGTTTCTTTGTTTTCTAGGATCATGCCTAACTCCTGAGCAGTCACATTCACTGATTCTTCACCTTGTGCTATTTAAAAATCTTTGTTTCACTTACAAATTGATACTTCTCTTTTGACTCTTGCTGCTGCTATCACAAGCATGGTGTTGCTGCACTTGAGGGCTATGGTGCATTTCATGGTGATAATTTTAAAAGGACATTAAACAGAGACACAATGCTGCAACACTCAACAGATACTTAATATATGAGACTGGATTCTGCTGCCTACCAGTCGAAGCACACACTGTTAAACGGTAAACTTTTTAGACAGAAAGTCCAGTACAGTATATACATAAGTCAATAGCATAGACATTTATTAAGAGTATCAAGACATATGCAGTATAGGGTATATACATACAGTAGTACCATTATATACCAGGTGCCCAATTGCTTTGTATATAAAACAAATATGAGATACCTATGTTGCGTGCAGGAAGCTCTTGCATTTAATACGTCCTATTCACCAATCAACAATTCACCAATCAAAGGAGCTCTGGTAGCGTAGTGGTTACAAATTGTTCTGTGAACCGCAAGGTCAGCAGTTTGAAACTACCAGCTGTTTCACTGGAGAAAGATGAGGCTTTCTTCTCCCGTAAAGATTTACAGCCTCGGAAACCCTATACAGGGTCACTATGAGTCTGAACCGACTCCACAGCACACAACAACAACAACATTCTCCAATCAAGATTTATTGTACTTCTATTATAACCTTGGAGTTCTGGTGTGCTGCTATAGGATAAAGCACTGTACTGCAAGATTGGTTTGAACCTCAAGGTCGTTGTGAACCACCAGCCGATCCTTGGAAACCCTGTACAGGGTCACTATGAGTCAGAACCGACTCCACAGCACACAACAACAAGAACAACATTATCACCTTATGGGACAGCGGATGTATATGCAGTCAGATGTTGCCCAAATGGACATTATGTGGCACATGACTATAACCCAGATGTGTGAATTGTATAATATTAGATATTTATGGAGAGAGTCAAAATAATATTTCCAACCATCAGGAATTTAGGGATAAGGTTATATGGATGCACAGGGTTGTTAAGGAAGAGATAGAACTTAAATTTTCATTCTTAAATATTCAGAGTTATTCAAGACTAGCCTTTTCTGTCTGTTATTTAAAAAATATATACCATTTTACAACTATATAACAACTGGTGCTCAAATGCATAGTGTTTGGGTTGTTAATTGTGCAAAAATATTAACTGCCATTTATTTTAATTTGTTCTATTTCCATGGGAAAGGAAGGCTCTCCCAAGAGAAAGAAGGTGGTTCTGGACTTTGTATTATGTTAATAGGTGAGGGAAGCAATGTGTTCACTTTCTCTTCCAAAGACCTTTCTCTGTGGTTGAAGGCTCAGTCTTCTCTGGGTAAAATACAAACCTCATACTTCCAATCTTCTTATTTGCCTTCTGTTTTACCAGTACATAAAACCATTTCAATGATCATTTCCTAAAGGAAACAAATATTGTGGCTGTTGAGCTACTTAAAATTATTCCATTCTTTTTTCACAATAGAGAATGTTCTAAGACCCTCAAAATGGAAAACACTGTTCATTTTGAAGATAGGCTCTTTGATGCAGAGTGATGAAAATGCACTGCCCTCAAAGAATATGCCCGTTGTGATCATAGCTGAAACTTAGGGCTCTGAATAGGACGTGGGCCCCAACATCAGTTATATACCACAGTCATTCTCACATAACCTCTGAATTAAGTCAAAGGGCTTAGTTCTGAACTTCGTTCTAAGTTCAGAATTTTATGTAAGTTGGCCCCAAAGAATGTATCTTAAACTATCTTTTCTAAGCCATTCTGTCATTGCTCTATTTGGTCAACAAACATTCACTAAATGCCCTGGTGGTTCTGTGCCATTGTTCTAGGTGTTGGGATACAGAACAAATATTAACCATCTCTTCCAAATAAATAAATACAAAGATAGAGACCTCGTTATATTATAACCATCAACCATTCTACACACACTTTTCTCAAACATAAAGATTTAAGTCCCTGACTATTGTGTGCTGTTGACAAAAAGAGAAATCCGTGTTTCTAAAACTGTGAAAAATAATATCAGTTGTACTGTTTCATTTAAACCTTGACTTTGGCAGTGTTAGGCTGCTTGGAATCAATCAATGCAGAGATGCAGCATGTTAATTGTAACTGCGAAAGGAAGTGGCAGGTGTTTCCAACTCTGATGAGCTGCAATGAAATTGATGTTTTCTGTATTCTGGAAGCAAATGACAATTCAGCAGTGTCTCTCTTCCCAGGAAGCAGATTTACAGGTTTTTCTTTTCAAACTGAAAATGGCAGTATGCCCCACCCAGGTGGTTGATCAGAGAGCTACCTCAGCAGGGCAGAGGTGGCAGGGGCAGCTGGCACCGCCACACGAGCAGAGAGAGCTGCAGCCATTGAAACTGGTGAGCTCAGATGCAGGATTTTATTGTAATAAGAAGGTTCATGTACAGAAGAAAGTGTACAATTTCACCTACTGTTTATCGTGGAGCCTCACTGCTGAGTAGCTTGTAAAAGATTAATTTGCTCCAACAATTGGGAACTATTCATGTGGATTGAAATGTCTTGTATGTGCACTGTTACAAATGCTGAAATGAACCAAAAATAAATGGTTTTGTGTCTGAGGAATCAAAACATTTTCATGTGGGCT